TTTGCTGCATACCTCGGTTGTAACGAGTGGTTATTTCAGTCAAAGTTGCTCTTCCATCAGCTTGAATCAGTCGGCCCATTGACCTCTAGTATCAACAAGGCATTTTCGCCCACAGGACTGCCGCATACTGGATATTTTTCCCTTTCCATTCTTTGTAAACCCTAGAAATGGTTGTAACTGAGCAGATTGTGAAATACCGGCCCATCCGGCACCAACAACCATGCCACGCTCAAATCTTTTTTTTTTTTTCCAACACGTAATCAAGATATTTTCTGTGCCATGGCACTTCTCATCTAATGTGAGGTTTGAAAATGCGAACTTTTGAAAACGGGTTTCAAAATGCACGTTTTTGAAAACGACAGCGTTATTACAGCGTGAATTTGTACAAAAACGTGACGTCATGCGCATGCGTAGTGTTTCTTTACAGTTAAACTTTTTAGTGACATCACCATCTATAGGCCACAGATTTGTGAGATCGGGGAACAGGGGCAACCTTGTAATCTGTACGTGAAAACTGCACAGGATAAACTTTTTTTTTTTTATTGCAGGAACAAAATATGCAAACTCCACAGACAATAGAGAACTTTTTTTAAAGTATGTAAGCAATGTAGGGGTTTCACATTCATTGATGACATGACAGCAGAATTAGATGATGGATAAACATATCACAGAGTAAACAGCCAGCTAAACACTAGCACTCCTTTGCTAAACGTTTGCCTAGTCAAAGCTGCATAGTATCGGGTTACAGTCATTTGAATATGTAAAGCTATAATTAAGGCTGGTTTCAAGCATTATGATTCACTGTGTCTACTAGTTGTGTAATGTTCTGAGCCAACTTTAATCGGGGAATCACCAGCCATCAAAAAATCCAGTTCAGCTGTTTATTTTATGTGCAACACATACTACATGTTCACATATCGCAAATAGCCGAGCAAGAGCTCTAAGCCAACATTTATTGTTTTTTTCCACTCATATGCATTTTTGCTAGTGCTGTTACATAACTGCACACTGTATATAATTATTTTTGAAGGTTTAAATGACTGTAAGGGTCCCACTTTATATTAAGTGGCCCTAATACCTAGTACCTAATACATAGTGAGTGACATGTGATATAGTTATTGACATCTACAGCTGTAATATTTGTGTGACTACACATATCTAACAACCCATGGAATGGTATGTGTAAGTACAAATGTGTAACAGGACATTGGCGACAACACTTTTTGTTTTACTTCAGTAAGTACACGTGATTAACAGGAATTATGTAACAAGTTGTTCCACTTCCACAAGTTCAAAATGTCAGTGTCAAAATTTCACATTTAATATAGTGTTAGTTCATTGTAATTTTTGAAATTTACTGAAAACTGATTATTGTTTCTACTTTTTTCACTCAGTGTAGCAGGAAATCCCCATACTTAAGCTTTCCTTTAACATCAAATCAGCTGATTTAGGTTACAAAATATGATCTTGCTGTGTCATGAAATTGAAGCCATGAGAACACATTCTAGAATCTGCAGAAATGGCTTGTTTGGCTGCACAAAATCACTGTATAGTTACAAATGTTGAGAGTTAACTTGGCGGTCAGAATGTCAACGCCCTCTAGACAGCTATTTGCTACATAGGTATTATAAAAGACATTACAAAAAGACATAACAAAAAGGTAAATATGTTCAGTTTCATGATCTTTTCCCCTTGTATATTTGTGTGATTCTGCTGGTTTCAGATCACAGCACAGCATGGAATTGAGGTCAGGACGCTGTGATATAGGGATATGTAATTTTCTATGTTTGTCACGAACAGAGATTTACTACCATGTTTTGGATCTTTTCTTGGATTTTGATTGGCCCAAACTCAGCTGTGTTTTCAAATATTTTGGCTTCTGACACAACGCATTGGTCCCAAATCTCTGTTTATGCACAAACACAGATTTACTACCATATTTTTGGATCTTTTCTTGGATTTTGACTGGCCCAAACTCAGCTGTGTGTTCAAATATCAAATATTTCACAATGCATTGGTCCCCAAACATCCCAAATGACTGTAAGTACGTACTCCCTCCATGTTTCAGAGTTTGTAAGATCTTCGGGTGTTGGCATCTGCAGTGGTTGTGTCGGGTTGGCAGGGCTGGTCTCAGGTCAAGGCCGAGGTTGTGTACACAGGATGTTCTGTTGGAGCCAAACCTTAGTGCCTCCCATTTTCTTTTCAATGGTTCCTCCTCACGAGACGGACAGGCTTTTGTGATTGCAGCAGATTCCTGAGATTCCCTGCCCTCTCTGAGATTCCTCCACACGACGAGACGCACAACACTTCCTCTGTTACGCTGTAATCGGGGATAGATGTACAGTTGAAGCTGAGGAGTGGGATCAGTCAATTCATTTTGATTAGGGACCTGAACAATCAAAAGCTGCGATTTAATTCAATAAATATGCGCAACACTGAATTAATTTGCACTCAAGCAGCTCATGACCTGGTGTTTCGGCATCTCAGAGCGGCTCATTCTCAGTAAATGCTTCAAACTGTGAGTTTGGGTCTCTTATAAAGTGCATTTGGGAACGCAACATGCACCCATTTCACCAGATTTGTATTGAGAGGAGTTTATAATACTGTTGCCAACTAAGAAGAGGCTTGACCCCCTGTGGTTTTCTGCCAAAATAAAAGCTTGATGGATTAGTGTTTGAAAATGAAGAAATTAATTAAGTATTGGTTACCGTGATTTTATTGTTATTATTAAATAAATGATTTTGTTATTTAACAAGATCATAGTATTAGTGCAATAGTTTTTGATAATAATAATAATAATAATAATATGATGTGGCCACATTTATATTTAATGTAACCTATGATAACTAAGCTAACTAACCATAACTGTTCACTTTATGGTTACTGAATATGTAAATATAGGATATAGAATGGTCGATATAATATGTGATGTTACATAATTTAATTTAACGTTAGTTATTAAATGGTTATAATATTTACTAAATTAGAAATAATTATAATAAGGAAAATAGTAATATTCAAAAAACGTATTTATTATTTAATCCTATTATAAATAAACAGCTAAAAAATAAAAAATAAAAAGTGAATCATATTTTCTAGCTAATTTACAATAAGTACACAGTGAATATATGACATGAATATGGTCAACTGGATTTAGCACAGCATGGACGTCACGCAGAGAACATGTTTTTCTGCAAATACACACTTTAAACAGATTAAATTTGCCAATTTAAATGTTTATTAGATATTCAAAGACCTGTTTAAATGTAGATACATATTTGCTAAATGGCGACAGTATTTGAAACTTTTATAGTATTTGCCTATTCCAATTACTAATCAGTTCACTTTCTTTGTTTATCGGTTCATGGCACTCTCAGGGCTGTCAAAATAAAAGTCTTGACACTGTCAAAATAAAAGACCACTTCCGACACTTATCAAAAAACAGAAATACTTTTCAGCTGATGCTGATGATTATAAAATGCCAAATATTAGTCGATATATCAGCCTTGGATATTAAACAACCACTATACTGAACCAAAGTGTGTACAAGGAAACCTGTTTTATTGGTAGTTTGGTCTTTTAGTAGCAATACGGCATGTTAAATATTTGATAATATCGCAGTTCGAAAGGCAATTTTTTTTACGTAGAGATGGTTCTCTAAGTTATTTTTTGTGTTTTCTGTTTGTATAAGCCAGCAAGTGTTTAAATGCTTGAATTCGTTACTGCAGGATTGATTCTGATTGGCTGTCAATGTTTTTATTGCTCATCAGCTGGAATAAAATTGTTCTGAAAGTCATTCCAGCGATATAGTTATTGACATCACTTTTGGTGCGCTACTCAAGTCATGGGCCCCATCATACACCCGGTGCACTGTAGCGCCAAACGCAACACAAGTGTGTTTTGCTAGTTTCAGCCTGACGCAGTTATCATTTTCATGTCCTGCGCCACTGTTTAAATAGCAAATGTATCTGCACCCATCTGTGCGCCCATGGGGTGCTGGTCTGAAAACCAGGTGTGTTCAGGCGCATTTTTGGGGCGCTGCTATTTTGAAGCAAATTTTTTGTTATATATATATAAATATAAAGAGCATGTTAGCTATATGAGTCTATAGGCGGGTGCACAACGCGTGTACACTTTGTCCCGTTGATGGTCTGTTTGCATTTTAACCTCGTCTCCTCGCTAGAGAAGCGTTCAGTTTTTCCGCTTGCAAATCCCGCCATGTAAATAGCGAGTCTGCCAATGTCGCGACCGTGACTGGCTTTTAAAGGGAATGGGTGATAAGACTCTGATTGGTTTATTGCACGTTGCACCAAAAACCAGCCCGTTCTCATCCCAAGGCGTCATATACTGATGCTTTTGACATTTCGTCTACATCCAACGCACATGGCACCCTTTAGCGTCAATTTGAGACGCAGATATATGGGCCAGAAGGCGCCTCCTACTGGTCTAACCTTAACCCTACGCCAGACCTAAACCTACCATAACCGAACAAAGCTCTGTGTGTGTTATACTGACGCTAAAGGGCGCCATGTGCGATGGATTTAGACGAAATTTCAAAAGCGTCAATATATGACGCCCTGGGATGAGAATGCATTGCTAAAATCACACTAATTACTCATTAAGAGAATAGGGACAACACTTTTGGCGATGCGCCACACGCCGAACATTTGCTAGTCGTTAAACTAGCAAAAGTGCACTTCCGCCCTGAGGTGGGCTTAGATCCTTAAAATAGGGCCCTATATCTTTATCATTATCGTAATAGTTGTGGTGTGCTATTCTTTTACATTTAGAACCATTATTAAAACCTCAAAGTTATAGACATAGCCGTAAGAGCTATTCAAGTGGTTATGTGATTAAGCGATATACATTATGCAACCAAATTTAGCACTGGTGTTTCAGTGCGTTTGATCCATAATTATATAATCAACTGTGAAATGTCTGATTGGTTTAATCAAGCAGGCAGAATAATCAGATCCTGTTGTGTTGTCATTTATTTATAGATTGCAGAATTGAGGCGAAATGAGGAAGAAGCAGAGCTGTTCACCAGGGCCGGCTACACCCCTCACAGGCTGATTCGTCTCCACGATGTCCAGGCTGACGGCGCTGTGACGGAGTGTGTGAGTTGTGCTGTGGTTCAGGGCGGGTGGTGTTTCCGCATTGTTTCTGACAGTGAAAAGCAGGTGTGGTCCTCAGGACGTCCAGCTCTTCCTGCGCTGAGAGGAAATGCCGCCGTAGGACTGTGTGTAAGAGTGACGATGCTGAGAGGATTGGAAATGCTAATCATGTTTTCACTGCTTATATTTGCGGTTAGCCAGAACAATCCTCTGAAGGAGTACACTTTTACATGAACAGTGGCTCTCCCAGCATCGTTTGCGCTACAAATATGAAGAATAATTTGTGTTAGCATCAAGCTAAATATGGCGCAGACTCTAAATAATGATAATTGTGCACATCAGTTGGTGGTGGAGTCCGACCGATAAAGGATTTTGAAGGCCGATACCGATACAAATATTTTTGGGTTTTAAAATCTGATATTCCGATATATCGGCCGATATTTTATTTATTTATTTATTTTTTTAAACTGGACATGATAGTCACACATTTTGTCATGCTTATTTGTGTTAAGAGAACTGATGGGAATGTTCTTTTAGTTGTTATTCAAGCAATGTATGTGTCGTGACCAACTCAACGGTGTAGAGTGCCCTCTGGTGGACAAACTATACAACTCCAACACTCATGACATGGTTCAAGCGTGTTTCGTCCGTTTTTATTTTATTTTTGAAATATTCATTAATCGGCCATTATAAGTGCCGATACCGATAGTTTGGAAAATGCCTAATATCGGCCGATAATATCGGTCTGCCGATATATCGGTCTGGCTCTAATTGGTGGCAATGGTAAACTTGAAATGGTAACACTTTAGAATGAGGTTCCTTTGTTTAATAACTACACAGGAACAAATGAGTAACACAATATGGACAATCTAATAATTACTATTAACTAGTGTACTTACAGTGTACTTACCTAGAAAGTACTGGCTAATATAAGGCAAGTACATGGAACAGGGGTAGGTTTAGGGGTAGTTAGTACTAGTTATTACCCAGTAATTGTAGTTACTAAAATAAGTACATAGTATTTACATGGGTAACTGGACTGTAAAAGGAAGCGTTACCACATGAAACTCTAGCGCACAGATAAAAGTGGTACTCCACTATTAACTAATCAATAACTACTATTTTTTAATACTTCCCAGAGAATTACCGAGAAAGTTTCATAATTCATGCAAAACTATAATCTATAATAATCTATTATATGTAATCTATATATAAACTATAATCTATAATCTAGGACTAATGAGTAGGAAACAAAGGAACCTTATTCTAAAATCTGAATGTTTTTTTCATTGTACCGTTCTCTTGGCTAAATTTAATCAACAGCTGTTAAAATTAGCCGTTAAAATGAACAAATAGCAGTTTGAATCAATGTCCAGAACTATAAAAAGACCAAACTTGCTGAACGCAGTGGAAGGGTGTTATTTTCCTGCATGACAATGCACTGAACCGCGTGCCGCCCGAGAACAGTGAGGGGTGGCTCGTGATCAGGTGACCTCGTCCACTTCCACCACATTCAGGACGAAGACAAAACCTCCTTCCTTCTGGGCCTATTCCTCTGTACAACAACCCTTGTGAAAACGAAGTGTGCTCAGAATGTGCATTTAGTGTCATTCCAATCTTAGTAATATTTACACAAATCTGTAGTTGCAGATTATGTAGATTATGTGCACTTAAAGAGAGTCCACAATAATGTCAAATTAAAGGTTCATTTTAAATCATGTTTTCTTTAAAGAGGTACACTTGTTTTAATGATGACTAACATACTGACTAACATACATTAGCACTCAGTTATAATTAAAACTGTAGTGTGTGGTTCAATGTTACATTTAAAGTGAATTTATATTAAATTGCAACTTCATCACTAATGTATAAATGCAATAAGTTTCAATCAAATTGTATTTTACTGTACCATAAATGCTTGTCGGTGCAGTCAGCAGTAACTTTGGCCATATTTCACAGATAATAGAAGTAGTTTTGAAATTACATATAATAATGTACTTCAGGCCTACTTGTGCTAATTGCAGTAAAAAAGCCCTCTTGAGGGCAACTAATTTTCTTTTATTTTAATTGGTTTAAAAACTGTAATACATTTTATTTTTTTAATTGTACATAACATGCATGTGTCCGAAAACATTACATTCAGTTTGTACTTAAAGAAAAAAATCCTAGGTGTGTATGGCGTATCATAAGAGTGTATGGTGTATCATAAGAGTGTATGGCGCATCATAAGAGTGTATGGCGCAGAGTATATGGTGTATCCTAGGTGTGTATCCTAGGTGTGTATGGCGTATCCTAGGTGTGTATGGCGTATCCTAGGTGTGTATGGCGTATCCTTGGTGTGTATGGCGTATCCTAGGTGTGTATGGCGTATCCTAGGTGTGTATGGTGTATCCTAGGTGTGTATGGTGTATCCTAGGTGTGGATGGTGTATCCTAGGTGTGTATGGTGTATCCTAGGTGTGTATGGTGTATCCTAGGTGTGTATGGCGTATCCTAGGTGTGTATGGCGTATCCTAGGTGTGTATGGCGTATCCTAGGTGTGTATGGCGTATCCTAGGTGTGTATGGCACATCATAAGAGTGTATGGCGTATCCTAGGTGTGTATGGCGCATCATAGGTGTGTATGGCGCATCATAAGAGTGTATGGCGTATCCTAGGTGTGTATGGCGTATCCTAGGTGTGTATGGCGTATCCTAGGTGTGTATGGTGTATCCTAGGTGTGTATGGCGTATCCTAGGTGTGTATGGCGTATCCTAGGTGTGTATGGTGTATCCTAGGTGTGTATGGCACATCATAAGAGTGTATGGCGTATCCTAGGTGTGTATGGCGTATCCTAGGTGTGTATGGCGTATCCTAGGTGTGTATGGCGTATCCTAGGTGTGTATGGCGTATCCTAGGTGTGTATGGCGTATCCTAGGTGTGTATGGCACATCATAAGAGTGTATGGCGTATCCTAGGTGTGTATGGCGTATCCTAGGTGTGTATGGCGTATCCTAGGTGTGTATGGCGTATCCTAGGTGTGTATGGTGTATCCTAGGTGTGTATGGCGTATCCTAGGTGTGTATGGTGCATCCTAGGTGTGTATGGCGCATCATAAGAGTGTATGGCATATCCTAGGTGTGTATGGTGTATCCTAGGTGTGTATGGCGCATCATAGGTGTGTATGGCGCATCCTAGGTGTGTATGGCGCATCACAAGAGTGTATGGCGTATCCTAGGTGTGTATGCCGTATCCTAGGTGTGTATGGCGTATCCTAGGTGTGTATGGCGCATCATAGGTGTGTATGGCGCATCCTAGGTGTGTATGGCGCATCATAAGAGTGTATGGCGTATCCTAGGTGTGTATGGCGTATCCTAGGTGTGTATGGCGTATCCTAGGTGTGTATGGTGTATCCTAGGTGTGTATGGTGTATCCTAGGTGTGTATGGCGTATCCTAGGTGTGTATGGCGTATCCTAGGTGTGTATGGTGTATCCTAGGAGTGTATGGCGTATCCTAGGTGTGTATGGCGCATCATAAGAGTGTATGGCGTATCCTGGGCATCTATGACGTATCCTAGGTGTGTATGGTGTATCCTAGGTGTGTATGGTGTATCCTAGGTGTGTATGGCGTATCCTGGGTGTATATGGCGTATCCTAGGTGTGTATGGCGCATCATAAGAGTGTATGGCGTATCCTAGGTGTGTATGGCGTATCCTAGGTGTGTATGGCGTATCCTAGGTGTGTATGGTGTATCCTAGGTGTGTATGGCGTATCCTAGGTGTGTATGGCGTATCCTAGGTGTGTATGGTGTATCCTAGGAGTGTATGGCGTATTCTAGGTGTGTATGGCCCATCATAAGAGTGTATGGCGTATCCTAGGTGTGTATGGCGTATCCTAGGTGTGTATGGCGTATCCTAGGTGTGTATGGTGTATCCTAGGTGTGTATGGCGTATCCTAGGTGTGTATGGCGTATCCTAGGTGTGTATGGTGTATCCTAGGAGTGTATGGCGTATCCTAGGTGTGTATGGTGCATCCTAGGTGTGTATGGCGCATCATAAGAGTGTATGGCGTATCCTGGGCATGTATGACGTATCCTAGGTGTGTATGGTGTATCCTAGGTGTGTATGGCGTATCCTGGGTGTATATGGCGTATCCTAGGTGTGTATGGTGTACCCTAGGTGTGTATGGCGCATCATAAGAGTGTATGGCGTATCCTGGGCGTGTATGACGTATCCTAGGTGTGTATGGCGTATCCTGGGTGTGTATGCCGTATCCTAGGTGTGTATGGCGTATCCTAGGTGTGTATGGCGTATCCTAGGTGTGTATGGTGTATCCTAGGTGTGTATGGCGTATCCTAGGTGTGTATGGCGTATCCTAGGTGTGTATGGTGTATCCTAGGAGTGTATGGCGTATCCTAGGTGTGTATGGTGCATCCTAGGTGTGTATGGCGCATCATAAGAGTGTATGGCGTATCCTGGGCATGTATGACGTATCCTAGGTGTGTATGGTGTATCCTAGGTGTGTATGGCGTATCCTGGGTGTATATGGCGTATCCTAGGTGTGTATGGTGTACCCTAGGTGTGTATGGCGCATCATAAGAGTGTATGGCGTATCCTGGGCGTGTATGACGTATCCTAGGTGTGTATGGCGTATCCTGGGTGTGTATGCCGTATCCTAGGTGTGTATGGTGCATCTTAAATGTGTGTGGTGTATCCTAGGTGTGTATGGCGTATCCTAGGTGTGTATGGTGTATCCTAGGTGTGTATGGTGTATCCTAGGTGTGTATGGCGCATCTTAAATGTGTATGGTGTATCCTAGGTGTGTATGGCGTATCCTAGGTGTGTATGGCGTATCCTAGGTGTGTATGGGGCATCATAAGAGTGTATGGCGTATCCTAGGTGTGTATGGTGTATCCTAGGTGTGTATGGCGCATCATAGGTGTGTATGGCGCATCATAAGAGTGTATGGCGTATCCTAGGTGTGTATGGTGTATCCTAGGTGTGTATGGCGTATCCTAGGTGTGTATGGTGTATCCTAGGTGTATGGCGCATCATAGGTGTGTATGGCGCATCATAAGAGTGTATGGCGTATCCTAGGTGTGTATGGCGTATCCTAGGTGTGTATGGTGCATCCTAGGTGTGTATGGCGTATCCTAGGTGTGTATGGCGTATCCTAGGTGTGTATGGCGCATCATAGGTGTGTATGGCGCATCATAAGAGTGTATGGCGTATCCTAGGTGTGTATGGTGTATCCTAGGTGTGTATGGCGTATCCTAGGTGTGTATGGCGCATCATAAGAGTGTATGGCGTATCCTAGGTGTGTATGGCGTATCCTAGGTGTGTATGGTGTATCCTAGGTGTGTATGGCGCATCATAAGAGTGTATGGCGTATCCTAGGTGTGTATGGTGCATCCTAGATGTGTATGGTGTATCCTAGGTGTGTATGGTGTATCCTAGGTGTGTATGGCGCATCATAAGAGTGTATGGCGTATCCTAGGTGTGTATGGCGTATCCTAGGTGTGTATGGCGTATCCTAGGTGTGTATGGTGTATCCTAGGTGTGTATGGCGTATCCTAGGTGTGTATGGCGTATCCTAGGTGTGTATGGTGTATCCTAGGTGTGTATGGCGTATCCTAGGTGTGTATGGCGTATCCTAGGTTTGTATGGTGTATCCTAGGTGTGTATGGCGTATCCTAGGTGTGTATGGTGCATCCTAGGTGTGTATGGCGCATCATAAGAGTGTATGGCATATCCTAGGTGTGTATGGTGTATCCTAGGTGTGTATGGTGTATCCTAGGTGTGTATGGCGCATCATAGGTGTGTATGGCGCATCCTAGGTGTGTATGGCGCATCACAAGAGTGTATGGCGTATCCTAGGTGTGTATGCGTATCCTAGGTGTGTATGGCGTATCCTAGGTGTGTATGGCGCATCATAGGTGTGTATGGCGCATCCTAGGTGTGTATGGCGCATCATAAGAGTGTATGGCGTATCCTAGGTGTGTATGGCGTATCCTAGGTGTGTATGGCGTATCCTAGGTGTGTATGGTGTATCCTAGGTGTGTATGGCGTATCCTAGGTGTGTATGGTGCATCCTAGGTGTGTATGGCGCATCATAAGAGTGTATGGCATATCCTAGGTGTGTATGGTGTATCCTAGGTGTGTATGGTGTATCCTAGGTGTGTATGGCGCATCATAGGTGTGTATGGCGCATCCTAGGTGTGTATGGCGCATCACAAGAGTGTATGGCGTATCCTAGGTGTGTATGCCGTATCCTAGGTGTGTATGGCGTATCCTAGGTGTGTATGGCGCATCATAGGTGTGTATGGCGCATCCTAGGTGTGTATGGCGCATCATAAGAGTGTATGGCGTATCCTAGGTGTGTATGGCGTATCCTAGGTGTGTATGGCGTATCCTAGGTGTGTATGGTGTATCCTAGGTGTGTATGGCGTATCCTAGGTGTGTATGGCGTATCCTAGGTCTGTATGGTGTATCCTAGGAGTGTATGGCGTATCCTAGGTGTGTATGGTGCATCCTAGGTGTGTATGGCGCATCATAAGAGTGTATGGCGTATCCTGGGCATGTATGACGTATCCTAGGTGTGTATGGTGTATCCTAGGTGTGTATGCCGTATCCTGGGTGTATATGGCGTATCCTAGGTGTGTATGGTGTACCCTAGGTGTGTATGGCGCATCATAAGAGTGTATGGCGTATCCTGGGCGTGTATGACGTATCCTAGGTGTGTATGGCGTATCCTGGGTGTGTATGGCGTATCCTAGGTGTGTATGGTGTACCCTAGGTGTGTATGGCGCATCATAAGAGTGTATGGCGTATCCTAGGTGTGTATGGTGTACCCTAGGTGTGTATGGCGCTTCCTAGGTGTGTATGGCGCATCCTAGATGTGTATGGCGAATCCTAGGTGTGTTGTTTCAGTTTTAGATTTGTTCAAAGCAGTTACATAAACACACCCTCTATGTTAAGACTGTAGTTAAGAATTAGTCTGACCAGCTAGAAGTGAGTCAAGGGATAATCAGTCTAAAATTGGATTCATATTAGACCAGTCTCAAAGAAAGAAATTGGATCACTTAACTTTTCCTGTTAGACTAGTTATGTCAGCCTGCAACAGGTTTTAACGAGGTCTTCTTGGCTTCTGATGTCAAGCATAACTGCTCAGTTTGTCGGTTTTCTTCAGTTAAATGAAAACAAGACTGAAGTCATTTTATTTGGCTTTCCCCATTTGGTAGATGGCCTGACCTCTAGTTTAGGACCTCTGCAAGCGAATATTCGCACTCTTGTAAAGAACCTGGGTGTTGTTGTTGTTGATTCAGAGTTAAAATTTAACCAGTTTTTCCAGCTTTAGGGGCATGCAGAAATTGAAATATTTTGCATCTTTTAGTGGCCTAGAGACAGTCATCCATAGGGGCTAGTTCCTAGAACTGTTGGCGGAAGTACCCGGCTTTTGGCGTGTTCGTGCCTCTGGAACTAGGAACGATTTTACTTCTATGAACTCCTTTTGGAGGAACTAATGGCGCTTTTCCATTACCAGTACCAGCTCGGCTCGCCTCGGCTCGCTTTTCGCTCCATTTTCCATTGCAGACAGTACCGCCACAAATTGTACCCGGTCGTCATAGCAACCCCTTTCGTTCCTCGTTGCCCTATCAATCTCTCGCTGGATCCTCTCTTCGGCCACACAAAGAAAAGTCTGAACCTCCTCGTTTGACCACGGCGTATTCTTCCGAGTTGCCATAATAATAGTAGTTAGTTTAGTAACTGTCTCTGGCCAAACTATTTAAAAATGGCGGGGATATTCTGGATACTCCATCTGGCACTTGTGATAGATGGACCTTTTATGCTGAGGAGAAAATCCAACGCAACTTTGAGGGGACCAAGAGAAACATGATTATGTATTTCTGCTCAGCGACACTGGACAACAACCACACGCCATACGCTAAAATCATAACTGTCTACTTTCTATGTATAATAACGTGTTAGACGGGACTGTTTGACAGATCGTAAACTAATGAACACGGAGAATGCGAGCACTGTGTGGCTGTCAAAATAAAAGTCCCAACCACATACGCGGCTTACATTATTTCAGAGTTCCTATTAGCGGTGCAAATGCAACCAGGAAAACGTTCTTAGGGAACCATTAGATCTATTAGTTGGTGACAGAGCCTTCTCCATATTTGCCCCTAGGCTGTGGAATTTGCTATCTCAATCTGTTACCTGTCACCTGTTATCTTCTTCTTTATCTGCATTTAGTCATCTCTGACTCAGACCTATTCATTGTTTGGGATATGTTAGTCTCAGTGAGTAGACTTAGTCTTGATTTTAAAATGGTTTAAGTTGTTAATTAGAATTTGTATACTCTGTATTTTTGTGTGACTGTTATTTTTATCGTGTGTTTGTGAAGCACATTGGTCAGCAGAAATGTTGTTTTAAGGTCCTATATAAATAAAAGTGACCTTGCTCTGTAAGATGAGACTATACAGTAGTCTATAAGATGAAGGGCACAGACATTCTGACGCCGAACTTCCTGTATTCGCTTGTGTTTCATTCTGCTATAATGTTGTATTTCTTGTGCTGTGTCTGTCCTGCAGGACTCGAAGCCCAAGCTCAGACCGCGGCTCTGTGCCATCAAGAAAGGCCCCAATGGCTTCGGCTTTAACCTGCACAGCGAGAAGTCCAGACCCGGCCAGTACATCAGAGCTGTAGATGAGGACTCGCCGGCACAGAGGTCCGGCCTAAAATCCAAAGACCGGATAATACAGGTACAAGACACACTTTCTCAAGTCTCTCTGTAGGTGATCTTTTATTTAATTCATAATATAATTCATAATGTTAAGAAACATGAACCTGTGCTCTGTTTAAATGCACTTAAGTGTGTTAAGAAACATGAAGCTGTGCTCTGTTTAAATCCACTTAAGTATGTCAAGAAACATGAACCTGTGCTCTGTTTAAATGCACTAAAGTGTGTTAAGAAAAATGAACGTTTGCTCTGTTTAAAGGGTAACTTAACCCCTGGTCAGAGCCTGACTCTGTTAGGAAACATGAACCTGTGCTCTGTTTAAATGCACTTAAGTGTGTTAAGAAACATGAACTTAAATGCACTTAAGTGTGTTAAGAAACATGAACCTGTGCTCTGTTTAAATGCACTTAAGTGTGTTAAGAAACATGAACCTGTGCTCTGTTTAAATCCACTTAAGTATGTCAAGAAACATGAACCTGTGCTCTGTTTAAATGCACTTAAGTGTGTTAGGAAACATGAACCTGTGCTCTGTTTAAATGCACTTAAGTGTGTTAAGAAACATGAACCTGTGCTCTGTTTAAATGCACTTAAGTGTGATAACATGAAGCTGTGCTCTGTTTAAATGCACTTAAGTGTGTTAAGAAACATGAACCTGTGCTCTGTTTAAATGCACTTAAGTGTGTTAAGAAACATGAAGCTGTGCTCTGTTTAAATGCACTTAGTATGTCAAGAAACATGAACCTTTGCTTTGTTTAAATGCACTTAAGTGTGTTAGGAAACATGAACCTGTGCTCTGTTTAAATGCACTTAGTATGTCAAGAAACATGAACCTGTGCTCTGTTTAAATGCACTTAAGTGTGTTAAGAAACATGAACCTGTGCTCTGTTTAAATGCACTTAAGTGTGTTAAGAAACATGAACCTGTGCTCTGTTTAAATGCACTTAAGTGTGATAACATGAAGCTGTGCTCTGTTTAAATGCACTTAAGTGTGTTAAGAAACATGAACCTGTGCTCTGTTTAAATGTACTTAAGTGTGTTAAGAAACATGAACCTGTGCTCTGTTTAAATGTACTTAAGTGTGTTAAGAAACATGAACCTGTGCTCTGTTTAAATGCACTTAAGTGTGTTAAGAAACATGAAGCTGTGCTCTGTTTAAATGCACTTAGTATGTCAAGAAACATGAACCTGTGCTCTGTTTAAATGCACTTAAGTGTGTTAGGAAACATGAACCTGTGCTCTGTTTAAATGCACTTAAGTGTGTTAAGAAACATGAATGTTTGCTCTGTTTAAAGGGTAACTTAACCCCTGGTCAGAGCCTGACTCCACCCACTGGCAATATTTGAAAAATGCTGAAAAAGTGGACAGACCCCAGCGGAGATAGAGAAGACGAAATAGATGCTAAAACACTCTATCCTGATCGTTTTCAATACTCGCAATTTCAACTCCTGACCCGCTACAGTGGTTTTGACGACACAAGCTGGTTTTTATACTGCCAAGGGCGGAGCTCGTACCAAGAGCGTGGTGAGCTGAACCGCTAACAACCAATAGGACAATTCTCCTGCAGTAGCCACCGTTCAACCTGAAGAGGGCAGCACTAAGACGTTTTTACACCATATATTGTAGAAATAAAACACTTTATACACAAATGTCGAAAAAGTTACTCGAATCAATGACTGGTATTAATAAAGATCCATTCTTACAGGTCATTAACTAAAAAAAGTTGGTTTAGGGTTTAGTTACTCTTTAAGTGTTCTTAAGTGGCCTTATTTTTAGTAGTATTATATAATCTAAAAAAACACTTTAGAAAAATTAAAGTGCACTAAAAGTACACATTCAATACAATTAAGCACTTTTTTCACAAAGGCATTTTTTTTTTTTTTTTACTAAATAATTTTGGTGAGAAAAGTCTTTGGTGTTAGAATAAAAGATGATAGATTTATTCTTTTCCAAGTATAGTGTTATTATGACTTGGCAACACTGTTCCTGGAAGGGAAATTTGTACATTGTGGCACTTTTTTAAGCGTATCCTGTTTGACAACAGAGAAGCAGAGACAAATGGGATGAAAGTGGAACATGGGCAAGCAGTGTGTCTGTCTATTAACAGTAGCAAGTCCATACTTCCTCTGCAGCAGCAACATGCACTCTTAGAAGAAAAGGTTCTATATAGAACCTTAAAAGGTTCTATCAGCGCTATGTATTTGGAACCCCTAAGAGGTTCTATACAGAACCCTTTTTAAAGGTTCAATAATAAGAACCCTTTAGGGTTCTTTGTAACCAGGAAAAAGGTTCTATATGGAACAAGATCATTCATTATCATTTGTTTTGTCCTTTCCGGATTCAATATTTCATGTTATTGACAAACATCAAGACCCTAAAATGTATTTATGAATGCATGTGAATGATCAAAAAAAAATAAAAGGAAATGGGGGTTAGTATATATTTATATCAATTTATGTAATTAATCAATATCACATGAAGAGTGCCATTTCAGTTTTTCTCCTCCAAAAATCAGCATGATTAAAATGTGATATTAAGTTACTAAATCAGTTTAATAAACAATAATTTAATTACAACTACAAAATGTTGCAGAACAATGTAATATACAGTCGTGCTCAGAATTAATGGGACCCCTGGTAAATAAGATCACACTATGAAATAAATGTTTTTCTCCAAAACACTCTGGCCATAATTATTGGCACCCTGTTATTAAAAACTTTTTGCAACCTCAGATCTGTAAACTTTTGCCAAGATAACAGATGGCAGAAGCTTCATTTTGTGCTCCGTAACTAATTTTTGTGTTGATTTTGATTTTTGTTTTGGATTGTTGTCCTGATGGAAGATCCAACCACGGCCCATTATAATATTTCTAGCAGAAGGCGTCAAGTTTTTATTTTTTATCTTTTTGTATTTGATAGAATCCATAATACCATGTATCTGAACAAGATGTCCAGGACCTCCAGCAAATAAATAGGCCCACAACATATAAGATCCAGAAGTATATTTAACCGTAGGCATGGGGTACTCTTCATCCCTGTTTGCACCAAACACATCTGCTGGGTTTGCTGCCAAAAAGCCCCTTTTTTAGTTTCATCTGACCACAGAACACTGTGCCGTTTGAAGATCCAGTCGTGTCTGACACCTGAATATGCTGGAGTTTGTTTTTTGGATGAGCGAGGAGCATTTTTCTTGAAACCCTCTCAAGCAACATGTGGGGATGTATGGGTTGCCTGATATATTTTTTTTTTAGGTTTTCTGACCCCAAGACTCAACTAATCTCTGCAATTCTCCATCTGTGATCCTTGAAGAGTCTTTGGACACTCAAACTTTCACCGTCCATTAAGGCAAAATAGACACACGTCCTCTTCCTGGCAGAATCATGACATCTTTAGTTGATTATAACTTCTTAATTATTGTCCTGATGGTCAAAATGGGGATTTTCAATTCTTTAGCTATTTTCTTACATCCACTTTCTATTTTGTGAAGCTCAACAATCTTTTGATGCACATCAGAACCATGTTCTTTGGTTTTATTCACTGTGATGGATGATTCAGGGAATTTGACCTTTGTGCTTCCTCATATTTAGTTAAGAAGCAAGAAACAAGAAGTCATAGCTGGACAATTTCATGTTCCTAGTCACCCTGATGTGCTTAAAAAATTAAATATTAATGGGAATGTACTTCAGAGATATTTTTCTCATAAAAAAATTCTAGGGGTGCCAACAATTATGGCCAGAGTTTTTTGGAGAAAACATTTATTTCATAGTGTGATTTACCCCCACCTTCAATTCTTTTGCTTCAATGAAAGGTTTGAATTTTGCCAATTTTTTGAATGGAAGATCAAAAGGATAAACAATGCAGAATTATTTTTTACAGCCAGTTTTCATCATATTTACCAGGGGTGCCATTAATTCTGAGCACGACTGTATGCATGAATAATAGCCTATTTTTGTGTCAAAAGGGTTCTTTGTCATTATAGAACCTTTTTTTTAGCATAACAGGTTCTTTGGAGTCTAGTAAAGAACCCTATGCTTCATACTGTATATAGAACCCCAATGAACCATTTTTTCTAAGATTGTGGATATCAGATCTTCTCCGCAGAGACCTTAATCATTAAGATGCTTAAGGTCTATTTAGAGAACTGTCTTTAAAGATACTGTAATTGAAACCGACAGATTCGTATAGACAACGTGCAATAATATAAACTCTTAATCGTGTATAAGTTTCTTTCCGTTAACTAGAATCACTTGAACATGAAGAGTAGCTTAAAAGAAAACATGTGAGATTTTATATAACAGCCCAGCAAACACAACAACAACAACAAAAATAGTATATTAAATTATTACATTTTTAAGAAACTTATATTTTAAACACAGTATTTTGCTCTATTTTGCCAATGATGGTGCCAAACAAAGCCACAGCAGAACTGTTGATTGCCTTCGAGCAACACACTGTGTGTTTCGTTTCCCAAATGCATTCAAATCCAATGTACATAATACTAAAAATAAAGAAAGAGTAGGTGTATGTTTCTGTAGGTTTTTCTCTGTCCGGTGATGTAATTCTTGAGTCTGGCCGCTTCATCCGGAGCGAGGGCCACGGAAAGGCCACCAGTGAACGAGGGGAGGGAGGGAAGGAAGCAGAGGGATGGAGGGGTCTTTGTTGTCCCAGAGGGGCCTCCAGACCGGGTTCTTTGTGTTGGACAGGCGGCTATTGTTCCTGCTGAGCCCACATTGTCCGTTTCCTCTCTGGGACTGAACTCCACTACAGACACACCCTCATTCCACATATATAGAAGCACAGGCGGGCTGAGCGGTTCCCACACCGCCTCGCATCACACCTAAACTCATTTCAACATTCACTATAACACAAGTGAACGATACTGTCTATAAACCACTTTGAAGAAAAGTTTCCATATATAGAACAAAATTTGTATTTACGAGATCATAGAATCATTTTAAGCATTCTGTGTAAATTGACAGCTAGTGGTTGAAATGGGTACTGCAGTCTGAATTCAAAACATTTGAGAGTATTTTCCATAGATATCTATATAAAGGCTAGATATGTCATCCACGCTGCTGGCCAATGGAGATCGACGTCTGCACCTGGCGGCCATCTTGTCACAGGCAGCTCGCTCACTCGTAACATTGTGTTAATGGCGCATGTACTTTTTAAATAACCATAACTTGCTCAATTTTCTACCGATTTTCAAACGGTTTGTTTTGTTATAAACGGCAGAGATGTAGTTATGACACTGCATACTTATGAATAAAAAGTGTATAAATAAATAATCACCCAGATAATTATAGCCACGTTAATAACGTTTGTAAGAAACCAAACCGTTTGTAAATCCGTCAAGATTTCAACGAGATAAGAGTATTTGTGTTCGTGCTGACCATTCATCTTACATCAGCTTGCCTGTGACAAGATGGCCGCCGGTGATGACGATGGAAACTCCGCCGTAACACATCTAGCCTTTATATACATATCTATGGTATTTTCCAGCTCCTCGACACTCAGGCGGGTTGCCAGATTGAGGAAAAATGCAATTGACAATGGAATGCGATAATACTTGTATCCGCATTTTAATATTCCTCTGGTCATAGAGATTTCTAGATGAGTGCCAAGGCTTTTTAAGTCATGTTAAATCTGCGATCTCTGACACAGTTTGTTTGCCGGCTTCCATCGCTGTGATACAATGTGTTTTCCACCAACTGGCAACCTGGAGGGTTCCCTTCCAAAAGGGAGTTTTGACGGTGATGCCAACTCTGTTTTCATAGTGTGAAGAATATTTTAATAAACTTTTTCCCATGACAGAACCCTTTTTTCAATTGGAAAGGTTGTTAAATGCCAAGTACCTGTATTTTTAAAAGTGTCGTAAAAGGTTCTTTAAAATTCTTTAAAAGACACAAGGGCTCTAACTAGAACCCAATCAAACCGTACTATTACGTACTATTAAAGTGAGCTCCTGTATATTCCACCTCTGGCTTGTCTTTCTCGAAGTTTGGCAGTATAAATCATCTTTGTGTTTTAAAGAGGAAAGAAAATATTAGGTCAGAAAAACCAAACGATGAGAAAAGAATGAATCACTTTTTCCTTTAAATGCCACCTGAAATGAAACACACGTTGATTTCTCACTCATATTCTTATTTTATGAATAATATATCAGTGTTTATGAATATTTCATATCGTTAAATATCAAATAATAAATATTTCAATCACAATTTTCTCCCAAACTCATGCCTCTCAGGGATCCTGTCCGACTTGTCCTTGACATTCGTCCCGAGTCAGTTCACACAAGCGGCTCTCGTGTTTTTTTTTTTTTTTTTGGCAAACGTGTAATGCATGAATGTTAGTGAATTGAAGACACGGGATATCCTTCCCTCGGACAGCAGGAAAGGAGACTGATAATGTTGAAAAATGAATCTTAGCTTTGATAAACACTTTCTTTGTTGGAACAATGAAGATGTGGATAATGCATCTAAAAATAGATTTCAGGGTGACGTCAATAAGTGTTGTCTTATTTTGCGTAGAGCAACCCGAGTGGACCATAACTTGTTATTTATTTAGCTTAGTCGCACCAAAATGGTTCATTCCAAACCCATAGAACTTTTACTCATCTTCAAAACACAAATTAAGAAATTGTAATATTCTCCCATTATTTTTTGTCCATCCACTGAAAGTCCACACAACCAAACTTTCTATGCTTCAAAAAGTAAAAAAAAAAATTATTCTATATTCTATATCTAAAATGATATATAAATCGAGTGGTGTAATCCAAGTCTTCGAAGTAAATCTGTCCATCATATAAAGTGAATGTGTCTTGGTTTAAACCATGCCTATTATAGTAAACTAATATTAAATCCATTAAATGACTTTTATTATTTATCCTTTATTTTACCAGGTGATGATTTTCCGTTTGAGATATTCAAATCTTTTTTTAAAGGGATACTCCACTTTTTTTTGAAATAGGCTGATTTTACAACTCACCCAGAGTGTTGAGTTTTACTGTTATTGAATCCATTCAGCCGATCTCCGGTTCTGGCGGTACCACTTTTAGCATAGCTTAGCATACATCATTGAAGTGGACATGACCATTAGCATTTCTCCCACAAAAATTACCAAAGTGTTCGATATATTTCCCATTTAAAACTTGACTCTTCTATAGTTACATCGTGCACTAAGACCGACGGAAAATGTAAAGTTGCGATTTTCTAGGCTGATATGACTAGGAACTATACTCTCATTCCTGCGTAATAATCAGGAAACTTCACTGCCGTACCATGAGTGCAGCAGGCGAAACAACCTTTGTTGTAAAATACACTTGTTTGTTCACAGTTTGAGCATTTTTTAATTTCAAAATCGGAGACGAATTATCAATTTTTGTTTTCAGTATGGCTGTAAATGTCACAAAATGATATTCAAACTCACATTCAGTTCTTTTAACATTAAATAATGCACATAATTATTATCTCAGATGATCACTCTCATACGTTGTGTGTTGTTGTTCTAGTCACAATGTCGTTGAAAAATAGAAAAGTTTATAATATAGAATTGTTGCGTCACGGCTGGTTTGGACAAAAAAAAACCCTGATTAACCCAAAAACGAAATTTCTGTCATTAATTAATGTCGTTCCAAACCCGCAATATCATCGTTCATCTTCAGAACTTAAATTAAGATATTTTTAATGACGAAATCCAAGAGGTTTCTGAACCAGCCATAGGCAGCAACATCGTTGCTAATTTTAAGGCCCAGAAAGGTAGTAAAGACATCGTTAAAATAGCCCATGTGACTACACTGGTTCAACCTTAAGCTTATAAAGTGACGAGAATACTTTTTGTGTGCAAAAAAAACCCAAACAAACAAAAATAACGACTTTATTCAACAGTCTTCTCTTCCACGTCGTTCTCCTACACCAGTGATGTAGTGTAAACAGGCCAGCGCTTCCAGGGTCTACGTCAGAACGCTGGCTCACTATTGGTCACGTAATCATTACGACACGTGCGTGTGATGCAGGAGCTGGCCATTAGTGAGCCAGCGCCGACTGTTTACACTACGTCAACAGGGTTGCAGAATGACATGGAAGAGAAGAGATTGTTGAATAAAGTTATTTTCAAAAAGTATTCTCGTCGCTTCATAACATTAGGACTATTTTAAAGGAGCCGTATGTAAGATTGTGGCCAAAACTGGCACTGCAATCACTTTCAAATTACTGTAGAGCGGTGTATCCCCTCCCCCCGACTCGAGGTTGCCAGATAGGCTGCAGGATCCAATTTTGTGGTAACTAGAACAGAGCTGGCAACCCGAATGGCGCAACACTATTGACTTCGTGATTGGTAGATCGGTGGAGGGTGGAGCATCAGACCAAAACACAACATGACAACATCAACATCAGCAACTTCACTTTTTAAATGACAATATGCTGGCCGGACTACTGTAGTCAGTGATATAAGTATTTGAAAAGAACATGATTTCTTAATGTCTAGTGGCCATTTTATGATTATTTGAAATAGATTTCTTACATACAGCTCCTTTAACTATGTCTTTACTACCTTTCTGGGCCTTTAAAGTTGCATTGACGTTGCTGCCTATCATATGGGGCCAGTTGTTCAAAATATTTAATCCGGATCAAAATGATCCGGATTTGGAAATCCCATTTTTTCCTATCCAGGATCAGGTAATCCGTCTTACTTTTATGCCGGTTTTTCAAAGCAACATTGGACTGGATCACCCTGATCCAGATACACAGTTTTCAAGATTACCAGTGCTCTAAATGGGACAACATATCACAATGCGGGCTACCAACTATGTAAAGAACAGGTAGAAGAGCCAACATGGGGTCACTGTAAGTGTTTCTTATTTTGAGACAAAACACAAATGGGGACAAGATAATTTTTATTTTATTTTTACTTTACTATACTCAATAGCTTAATTGTTAGCCTATGTCTACTTTATCGCTTTTACAACGGTTACACAAGTCAAATGCAAAATATAAATAAAAGTATGTACACTAAATGATACAAATGTATTATTCGACCAATTTTAAAGTTTTACAACATATTCTTCCTGAAATCCACCTTGAAATCCTACCCCCTGTTGGGATCAGGATGATCCTGTTTTTTTTTTTTTTTTTGATCAAATTTTACCCAAATTTGAACAACACAAACTGAAGGTTTGATCCAGATTAAAACTAGGATTGGATTCCCTGATCTAATCTGATTTCAGATTCCTTCTTTCCCTTTTGAACAACCCATTTTCAAGATTTGATCCAATCCGATCAGCTTACCGGCCCCAAATCATCAAAAAATATCCTAATTTGTGTTCTGAAGATGAGCAAAGGTCTTAAGGGTTTGGAACGACATGAGGGACAGAAATGTCAAGGCAGAATTTTTTTTTTTTTTTTTTGGGGGGGTGAGCTGTCCCTTTAAGTGTGAGTCAGTGAATGTCTCCTGATGTGCTGTTTGTCCTCAGGTGAACGCGGTTTCAGTAGAGGGGAAGCAGCATGCAGATGTGGTGGCTGCTATTAGAGCCGGGGGTGAAGACACCACACTCTTGGTCGTAGATCCAGAAACAGATGCTTTCTTCAAGAAGTGTCGAGTGACGCCCACCGCAGAACACCTCACAGGTACACACACACAAAACATGAAGTAAAACGTCAACATGTTTCCAGCAGCTGTAACTCCCCATGGCATCTCTCTAGGAGCGTGTCTCTCTCGCTGCGCTGGGTTTGGGTTTCCTATTAAGCAATTTAGCTTGTCCATCTTGTTTTGTTTCCCCATGCCAACAATCTGCAAAAGTGCCAAATGCAGCCATGGAAACTGTGTGTGTGTGTTTGACACAACTAGATTAGTCATGAGTGAGTGGAGACACAATGTTTACTCGTTTTATTTACCTAGCAAGTTGTTGGCGTCAGCACTAGTGGAAACTCTCCTTAGCTGTTATCACTGCTATTGCGTTTTATCAGTTTGAGTAAACATCTGTTTGAGTAAAAATGGCCAGATGAAGGCTTTTAGATGTCAGGTGGTGATGTTTTCAGCGAGGCCCATTTAATACTCATGATCAGTCTGCGTTTCGGTTTGAATAGCTGTTTTCTGTTCAGAGTGAGGCCGTGGGATTAGCTGTCAACAGCGCACTAGCTAACAACTAGCAATCCAGCTAACAGCTAACGTTGTCATGACTTTAGCTAACGTTCTGGCAAGGTTCTCTCAAAGTTATGAACAAACATTCTTCCAGGAACGTTAACATTTGAAGAACGCTCAAAGAATGAAGACGTTTAAATGATCCATAAATAATGTTTTTGTGCTAACCTTTTGAGAACAACCAGATAATATTGAACAAACAGTCTATTAAAGACCCCTTGTGGTGAAAATCAAGTTTTTAATGCCGGGCTCATTTGCATGTTTATGGTCCCACATATACTACTAAATGAGGCAAGGGTGTAGAGTTACATTCAAGCAACTTTAATGAAAAAAAAAGTTTAAATATGTCATTGTAGTGAATAATTTCAGATGATGTTGGCTGTTAATTAATGGTGACATCATTGGATCACATTTGAAGTCGAATCACTGATCAGACGTGTGTTTTGTTATTCGTGCGTTTAACCCTCTGGGGTCGTTCGTTTCAGAGTCACACTCGGGGTTTTCGGGTCCAAATGGACCCAAAGGCTGGGATTCATATTTAAAAAAAAAAAATTATGATTTTTTTTTTTACTCGTTTTTTATAATATTTTTTCTTTTCTTTTTTGGTGTTTTGAGAAAATTAAAAAAAAAAAAAAAATTATAATTAGTATTAATGCAATTATTAAGACAAAATTTCCCACCATTGAATATAATAGAATTTTTTTTTTTTTTTTTTTTTTTTTTTTTTAAAGCTGTATTTCATTTTAGAGTCAAGCCTAGGCCTCAAAAAAGCAATTTTTGAAATGAGATGGATGCCATCTGGTGGACAAACTGAGCATTTTAAAAATGCAAAACACATGTATAATCTGAATTTTTTGGTGTGTTTGTGTATAAAAGTGTGTTTGTTTGTGTGTGTGTGTGTGTGTCTGGATGTGTCTGTTTTGCACTCTTGATGTTTTATAGATTCACCCCTTCACTGTTGTGTGCTTTTTTTCCAAGATTGTGGCTGATTTGTAGATTGTACGCACAAAAAAACTCAGTATTTTCACATTTTTGCCAATTTTCCATTCATTTTCCATACGGGTCCATTTGGACCCGAACACCCCCAAGTGTGACTATTTTTCTTTCCAACCACTTAGACTATTCACATCCTGTCCCCAATTTTTTTGGGTGTTCAAATACCAAATACCAACAAAGTCACCAAATTTCGGACCATTCCGAGGAAGCTGTGATTTAAAAAAAAAATTTATTTAAATTCTTCGGGTCCATTTGGACCGAACAACCCCAGAGGCTTAAATATTGTGCTGCTTACCATGTGACTTTCTGAAAAATGAAAACATGCGAGCAGGAAGTTAGAAACTACAGTGTTATGTAGACACTCACAGACAGCATCAATCAGCATATGGGATTCAGCAGTTGTGACATGTTTCATGCAAGCATACAAAACTCCTTGCAGCTGAATTCTTTTACTATTTATATTTGAATTATTTTGATTGTCACCATTGTCAAGGGTTGTATGATGAGTGTTGATGCCTGAAGTGTCTCTCAACTTTAACTGAAGAGGTTGTCAACTCTTGAATTTGTTTATTGCTTTTTTGCTTAATCAAGTCTGTCATGAAACTACAGGAAAAGCAGTTAAAACCACTTTAATGCAGTTATTTGGCTGTCATTAAAACAAACATGTTTGTCTGCCTTTTCATCAGTCTATTTATCAATGCATCAAATCAAATCAATGCATCAAATCTTTATCAAATGAATTTATAATTTTTCTGAAAACACCTGCAATTGCTGAAACTGAAATGCACTAACAAGAGACCAACTAAAGTAAAAACTGTTACAAGTAAAGGAAATAAATAGAGAAAAACAAAGGTAGCTGCTTCCTTAATTGTTGAAATTATCATTACTCTCAATTAAAATCTTATTTATACTCATGAAAAAAAAAAGCATATCTTACATACACACCATATATTATAGTAATACCAATAATGGTAATCCGATGAAAACATGAATACATATAGTTATAGTGACACCAGCAATGGTAATCAGAATACCTCCAAGGTAAGATAACACGGCCAATGAATACATGAATACAACACCTAGACGACTAAACCCCGCCCTCCTTGTACTGTGACAAGACCTTCTGTTCATAGAGTGCTTTAAACTGGTGAATACTTTGACATTAAGTTCAAGCCCCAGACTATTTCACAGTTCAATACAGACACACAGAAACTCCTCCTGGTGGTTATAACTGTACAACTGCTCGCTCTCTCTCTCTCTGGGAATAACTTTTATATATTATCAGGTTGTGAAAAGCTTTAAATAAGAGTTGTGCCGTGTTGAATTTGACATGGTCCTGTATTTTTTTGTGTTCAAGATATTCAGCCTTGTGTATGGTACGTATAGCCCCTTTTTTTTGTAAGATAAGTAATGACTGTAAGGAGTTATTATAATTATTTCCCCATACTTCGACACAATAAGTTAAGTACGGTAGAATCAGGGAACAATACAGGGTATGGAGTGTATTGTAATCAGGGACATGTTTAGCTTGATTTATCATTGAAAGGCTTTTGGAGACTTTGTGTCTGATGTGAGTTTTCCAAGTTAGTTTATTATCTATTGTAAAACACAGAGACATTTTCATTCTCAATCTTTAACGTATTTTTTTTAATCTAATTACCAAAGCTTTCATAATTAGATAATCATAATTGTCATCACAATAGAAAATGTTGGTGTCATCTGCAAACAAAACACACTTAAGTAATTTTGAAACATTTTAACCAACTTGTTTTAGTTAATGATCTGTAAGAATGGATCTTTATTAATGCCAGTCATTGATTCTAGTCACTTTTTCGACATTTGTTTATAAAGTGTTTTATTTCTACAATATATGGTGTAAAAGCGTCTTAGTGCTGCCCTCTTCAGGTTGAACGGTGGCTACTGCAGTTGAATTTTCCTATTGGATGTTCCGCACTTCGTGACGTACGCGTTTCAGCTCACCATGCGAGCTACGCCCTTGGCAGTATAAAAACCATCTTGTGTCGTCAAAACCACTGTAGGGAGTCAGGAGTTGGAATTCGGAGTATTGAAAACGATCAGGATAGAGTGTTTTAGCATCTATTTCATCTCTTCTATCTCCGCTGGGGTCTGCCCACTTTTTCAGCATTTTCAAATATTGCCAGTGGGTGGAGTCAGGCTCTGACCAGGGGTTTAATTACCCTTTAAATATCGCATTGATGTAGAAGTTGAATAATTTAGGGCCCAATATTGACCCCTGGGGGACACCATAAGAAATTACATGACAGTTGAGGACTTCTGTCACTTAAAGGGTTAGTTCACCCAAAAATGAAAATTAAGTCATTAATTACTCACCCCCATGCTGTACCAACCCCGTAAGACCTTCGTTCGTCTTCGGAACACAAATGAAGATATTTTTGATTAAATTTGAGAGCTGTATAACTACCACATTGGCTCCTAAGGGACTGGCTCTTGACGGCCCAGAAAGTCAATGAAGAAAATGTTTAAATATCCCAAGTGACTACCGTGGCTCAACTATATGTTTACCAAGCGACGCGAATACTTTTTGTGCGAAAAAACAAACAAAAATAACGAGTTTATTCGACTATTTTTTTCTTCCTTGTAGGCCAGAACGAGACTTCCTTATAGATTTCCACGACGCATGCGCGAGAATTGCGATCTGAAGTAGTGTAAGCTGTGTACGCAGATCGCAAATCTCGCGCATGCGTCGTGGAAATCTATAAGGAAGTCTCGTTCTGGCCTACAAGGAAGAAAAAAATAGTCGAATAAACTCGTTATTTTTGTTTGTTTTTTCGCACAAAAAGTATTCGCGTCGCTTGATAAACATATAGTTGAGCCACGGTAGTCACTTGGGATATTTAAACATTTTCTTCATTGACTTTTTGGGCCGTCAAGAGGCAGTCCCTTAGGAGCCAATGTGGTAGTTATACAGCTCTCAAATTTAATCAAAAATATCTTCATTTGTGTTCTGAAGACGAACGAAGGTCTTACGGGGTTGGTACAGCATGGGGGTGAGTAATTAATGACTTAATTTTCATTTTTGGGTGAACTAACCCTTTAAGCTTTTTCCCCAGTCTCCACTCCTCATATCTCGTACCTTTCTAGTTTCTTGAATAGTATTGCATGATTTTTTCAAATCAATAAATATTCCAATGGTATTTTGTTTTTTACATTTACATTTACATTTTTTATTGTCCAGTGCATTTCATTCTTTTATTGCATTAATAAAAACCATAGATCACCTGATCTTTTGTTTCTGAATCCATATTGACTTTCATCAATCAGTTTATATTTTTCAAGCAGTTTATTTATTTATTTATTTATTTATTTTTTATGTTCAGTTGATTTCATCTAAGACTGTGTCTGGAAGTCAGTTGTAGTTTCTGTTCTTGTTGTTTCTCTTTCCTTCAGTAATTCTGCTTCACTTGAAAAATGCTGGGTTCACTGTAAAAAATGATTTTTTGGTTAAGTAAATACTAGTGAAAAAACCCAATGTAATTTACTTGAAAAAGTTAGTTCAGGCAAGAATTTAAAAAACTAAGTAAATTCCATATCAGTACTTATTTCAAGCGAGTATAAATGAAAGTGTAATATCAACTCAATAAAATTAAGTAAAAATTACTCAACTTTTCTGATACTGGGGTTCCCATCATGCACTGGACCTTGAATAATTAATGAGGTTCATTTGTCACTGGTTTCCAGCTGTATTTACACTGTTTTATCATTGATTTTTGTTTTCACTATTAGTAAATTGCCATTTTGTGACATTTCGAGTAATTTTTTTGCTTAAAACGACACATTCAAACACAAAAACGATCCATCAAATGTTACCACCATTGTGTATTGTCTACCAAGTATTGAGGTGTTTGCATTCACATAAGACATGATATATAAATTACTTAGATGATCTAAGTAAAGAACATACTATAAATGACCAATAAAATTCAAGATAATTGTTTTAGTGAAGTGTAATACAAAGGCAAAGGAAATCGGTATTAATCAACCTTTTACAAGCCGAGTTAAAATTACTTATTTTTTGTAAAGTTTACTTAATTCCACATTCCAAGTAAATTTAACTTAAAGATTTCTAATTAAAGCTACTGATAAATATGTTTAGGTTTTTACTTGGAAAATCTTTGTAAATTTACTATCATTTTCTGAGTGAGATCGTTTAGCAAGGTTTTTTCAAGTAAATCCTACTCCAAATTTTTTACAGTGTTGTTTCAACCGATGTTTGGGTCAAATACGGACAAACCCAATTATTGGGTTTAAAAATGTTATTAAAAAATGTAAAGCAATGGTTGGGTTTGTCCATATTTGACCCAAACATGAATGTTTAACCTTTAAATGATATTCTATATAGGCCTACATTAAGGATACTGGACATTTTTATGTTCTTGGAATGTTACAAATCAACATTTCTGGAATGTTGAGTCATTATTAGAATTTTTTAGGAACATCAAACCAACCTTTTAAAAAAAAAACGTTCCGCTAACATCAAGGAAACTAGACATTTTAACGTGTCGGAATGTTTGGAAAACGTTCTTAGAACAAAAGTGTGTTAGCTGTAGTTCCACGAAGAACCGCCAACATCCATGGAATCTTTCTATTACACAAACGATTCTGAATTGTTGAAAAAGGTTAATCAGATTGCTACATTTTTAACAACTGTTTACTAAAAGAATCTTTGTGGAACCCAGACTGGTTCTTCTATGGCATTGGGTTTTTCAGATTGAAAGATTATTTTCTCTACACACAGTCGTACATTTGGCTGTTTTCTCTTCTCTTTCACACTCAGTTGCACTGCTCTGTCTGACTCTGAACACACACACACACTGTCTCTCTCTGCTGCCTGTCAGCCAAATTTGGAAGGAGGACTTGTGTGGTTTCCAAGGTGCTGGTCTGGAGTGGCTCTCAGATTGCCGTATTGGGACTGAAGGGCATTTTGAAGTGTCCAAACAGCCAGTGATGTGTGTTTTGTGCCGATCAGGGGCCAGATGGACCTGTTATCAAACCTTCCCTGCAGTCTTCTTCCACTCATATATCCTTCAGACGGCGGTAGAAATATAGAGATTTAGAGACAAGGCGGGGGGAAGGGGGTCGGGATTATTTTCCAATTCGGTTATCTGTCTCATTGCTTTACTCTTCTTCCTAGAAACCCTTCGGAAAGAATGGCTGGCGGTAGGATCGTCGTTTTCTTGGAACCAAAACATATTTAATATTACATAAGTACAAAGTAATATGTTTTAAATTATTATATGAAAGGTACTCTTGATGATCTTCTTTGTAACCACAAACAGCCTACAGTTACACTGTGTGACCTCCAGTCACAAGTAGTGTGTTGTGACCCTTCAAATCGAATAGTCACTGAGTATAATTTCGATTTGTCCTCCAGGGTATAAGAAAATGGCTAACTTGTTTACAGTTAAAGACTTACAGTTGTGGCCTATCAGGCAAGTGTACTGCACCGCAAACTGTTTGCAAGTCAGACTGTTTGCAAAGTATATTTACAGAGAGGATGTTGGTATCATTATTTATCAGAAGTGTGAACTTACTTAAACATGTATACATTCACACATAAATATTCTTATAGTTTTACTGCGAAAAAGTCATTTAAAAAAAAATTAAATAAAGGCAATTGTCATGATTTTCATGTGCAAAATTCTAATTTTAACCTGAGATTTTTTTTTATCTCAGAGTTGGGGAAATGCAGTAAAATTTAAAAACGATGTCACTTTAAAAAATAAATAAATAAATATATATATATATATATAAATATAAACTGATAACTTTCCCTAAAAATACAGATATTCAGACCATTGAAAAAAACAGACCTTCTTCTTTAAATTAAGGTAAATGACATGAAGTTTAACATGAGATGTCCATAAATATACATAAATAAGTGATTACTGAGCATTAGTAACGACACCTGATGACAACAAGCAGAATCACTGAAGGAAAAAGGAACAACAAGAACAGAAAACAAGATTATATTTCTTACACCATTGGCAGATAATTGTGTTTGATTTAATCAAAAAATTACTTTTTTGTCATTGTACTTGACTAAATGCATCTTGATTTAAGTTTATATATATATATGAAGAGTTCAGATGCAAAAGTGCCATTTGAAATTTTCTTCTAGAATGATCATTTTTATCAAGCTTGTATATTTAAGTTCAGTAATTTCACTTAAATGGCAATGATAATTACCCATTAATTGTTATTTAAGTGAAACTACTGAACTTAAATATACAAGTTAAGATAAAAATCATCATTAAAGAAGAAAATTTCAAATGGCATTTAGAGGCTTTTGCATCTGAACCCTTCATATATATATATATATATATATATATATATATATATATATATATATATATATACTGTAAAAATATTGTTGGTTTAACTTAAAAAAGTAAGTAACCTGGTTGCCTTAAATTTTTAAGTTGTTTGAACTGGAAAAAGTGAGTTAATACAATGAAGGAGATTGATTTAATCACCAGAAACTCAAAATAATAAGTTATCTCAACTAAAAAGATTATTTAAGTTGATTTGACAAAAGAAAAAATGTTGTGATAACAAATCTTGAAAATATTTTTTTTACAGTGTGTCAGTACATGCAGCAGTAACTTTAACCGTATTTCAAAGACAACAGAAGTAGAAGTATGCTAAGGTGTACATCTTTTTCACATTTTGTCATTTGTTAAAGTGTAATCCACTATGAAGGCGTCTAGATTTTGTTCCCTGTGGGGGTCGACAGGTATCCAGGTATCACGGATCTCACCACGGTGATTATCGTCATCTGAATAATAAATGAAGCGAATACCTGTGCTGAGTATGTAACCGAGTCGACATCTGCTCACTGCAACCCGAGGAGGAGTGAATGTCATAGCAGCTACTGTATCTCTTGGTGTTTGGAAGTGTCTTGCTTAATCTTTGCGACGCGTCCTGGCTGTCTCTGATGAGGAGCGGTATTGGAGAAAGTGCAGATGCAGATGTACTGAGTGCAGTTGTGTGATCTGTGACTGACCCGTGCTGCTTCTGTCTGCCCCGCAGGTCCGCTGCCTGAACCTGTGCTCAACGGAGACATGGAGGACAAGGTAAGACAACCGCTCACATCACAGAACACTAGCTGGCCATATTAAGGGCATAATTCAACAAAATTAAGTTCGGTCATCATTTTCTCACTTTCAGTCTACTTTTATGTACTTATCAGAGATTATCCTTGTGTAGTATGCAGTACTTGGAATAAACTATAAGTATGCTTAAAGAAAACTTACTGTAAACTTGCAGTCTAAAAATCTATTAGTTTACTCGGAGTGTACTTACAGAAACTAAAAAGTGAGATTGAAGTATATACAGTTCACGGTGCAATAAAGAAGAAACGTCCTGTGGTGAAAAGCGAGTTTGTAATGTTGTTTATGTGTCTATGTGGTGTTTTTAATACGCTTTAAGACACACCATGTGTAAATTCATAAGTCGACAGCATTGCTGAGTATTTTCTGCTTAAAACTGCAGTGAACCAAAGACAGTCTCAAAAACACGGTTTGAAATCGCTGGTGTTTCTGACGTCACACACGACCTTGTAACCAATCAGATCAACGTGTGATCGTCAACCAGTGGATCTCTGAGCTGAGGGAGTAAGTGGAGGCGGGGCTCATTTGAATATTCATAAAACCGTGCATACTAAATGAGGCAAGGGTGTCGAGATACATTCAAGATATTTTAAGAACTCTTTAAATACATAATTTTGGCGATTAAAGATGACCTTTAAGGAATACATTTATTGGGACCTTAGTGACCAATTCATCCAATCAGGGATACTGACACTACAAATATGCAAATAAAGAAGTTAAAGGTGGCATACCTAAGATTTTTGCATTAAAATATCCCAAAATCACACGGCCAGTGTTATATATTTAGTTAAGATGATAACTTACAATATTCCAAACAACGTTTAAATTGCGAGAAAATTGAGATTTTAACCAAGAAAATGGGGCGTGTGAGCTGGGAGTCGCCAGTAAACCGCGTCATATCCGCGTTACCTCGGTTTCCGCTCGTACTGCGTGTAGTCCTGAACAAATGCGGAAGTTGTAGTTGTGCGTTAGCGTCAAACGTCAGCTTGTTTCGCGCGTTTGTTATGGAATGGAGCACAATTATTCTTTAGCGATTGCACCTGGTTCTGTCGACAAATACATAACTGCAAACGCAAACGAACAGGTCAACCAAACGACCCAAGAAGAATTTGTGACAAGAGAAATAAAACCAGCTCAACATCGGTTCCTAAATGGAGAGAACTTCGTGAAAAACTCGAACTAGAAAGAGACGCCGATCTTGCACGTGTTTTACTCGACAGGTGAGTAACACGTGTTCTGTATTCAAATTTCATGTCAGTAAACGACGCAAAACAATTAGTATTATTGTTCGAATGTCTTGTTGTCTTTGAATATGATGTGAAAAATCGTAAGGTCGTATTCACCGCGAATACTTCTCGTAATGTGAACTGTTGGCTGTATCTTAGAAAACGACGTTTATCTGAAAAGTGTTTCAACCGTCCCGGCTCTCCCCTAACATCTGTGATAACTAATTTACTTTTAAACCTGAATTTTCTTGCGGTTATTTCAGTTTAACGAAATCGAACTTTACCTCATCCATGACAACTAATTTTCGATTCCCGTCTGACTGATTTATCGACGGTGGAGTTGAAAACAACAGTTCCCATCATTCCGCGTTCCTCCACGACGTCATCAAGCAAAGCCGTTGTTGTTGTTGTTTTGAATGTAGCGCCCTCTAGCGGCATAAAATCGTAGGTATTGTAGCTTTAACCCAGGGTTTAGGAATGTACCGTGTGAAACGTGAGTTTATGAATACCCAGGATTAAATGTTAACCTTCGGGTAAATCATGAGCAATGTGAAACATTAGCAAGATAACCCAGGATTCAGTTTACTCTGGGTTTATTAATTGACAATTAAAGTGTGGAAAGCCATTATGTGTTTCATTAAAGAAATAAAGTCATTCAGGTTTGGAACGACTTGAGTAAGTGATGACAACATTTACATTTTTGGGTGAACTATCCCTGTAACACATTTGAAATATGGAGAAAATCCAATATAGATGAAGTGATGAAGTGTTTTGCTGTTTCCATATTCATTAACATGCGCTGTTTAGAGAGGTGTCATAATTAAATTGAAAATAGGCTCACATTCACTCTTGATCATATGCCTAATATGCTGAAAACGGCTCTGTTATTGTTTCTTGTCTTGTCAAATTCAATTATAGATGACTTGTTTTCGAATACACACTACTTAGACACACCTCATTCTTTACATGGCTGACCAAAAAACACAACATGCTAGCATCCTCACTGACTCCAGTTCTCAACATTCAAGAGAAATGTGGCAAATATTATAATGACGTCTCGTTGCTTTAATAAAATTGAGCATCGTGGACAAAATCTGGTTCGTTTGTGATTAAATATCATGCTATTCAAATGTTTTATTTAGTAAAAAGTTCTGCTATTAGATGTTTTGAATCTAACCAGCGGAGCAAATGCTGTACATTCTCAGTTGTTAGCCGTGTGCACTTTCCTGTGGGGGTTTTATTTGTTATTCTGTGTGCTCTTTAATAAATAAACTCGAACTGGAATAGTTTGTATTGGCCTATGCCTGAACTTAGTTCTCATAGCAGAAAAACACAATTACAAGAGGTTTCTCAGAGGTTATTGGAAACCTTTACATCTTTTGATATTAGCCTATTATTGGATCATCCAAGATGTCCATGTCTTTCTTTCTTCAGTCGAAAAGAAATGAAGGTTTTTGATGAAAACATTCCAGGATTTTTCTCCATATAATGGACTTCAATGGGAACCAAACGGTTCAAGGTCCAAACGACTCTTTCAGTGCAAACTGCAAACTGTTCAAAGGGTTTTAAACGACTCCAGACGGTCAATAAGGGGCTTATCAAGCGAAACGATCGCTCGTTTTAAAAATAAATAACTAAGTTTAAGTTTTATAAGCTCAAATGCTCGCCTTGCTCTGTTCTGTGACGCACGTTTGTGACTCTCCTGTTCAAAATCGTTCATCAAAATGAACTAATCTTTTTTCGAGTCATTTGGTTCATTCAACGAACAAAACAACCGAATTGACTCGGAAAAATTTAGGTCGGCCAACATTCAACCCGAAAATAGTCATATAACCATTGCGATAACTTCGAAGCTATTCAGTTAATGTAAAAAAACTGCATAATGCTGCTTTAATTGTGATTATGCCAATGACGGAAGTTAGAAAAGGCATGACAGAAGACCATTAGAGGTTGAAGATCAATCCTTTATTCAGAAATTGACATGATTAATGGCTATCCGCTGGAGGGATTTAATGTAGCTATAGTGCTCAGAGCTCAGTGAAAGTGTAATATTTCTCACATTATGCCACCACAATGAAACCTAAGGAGCATAATCATGACATATCTGTAGTTTTTTTGTGACAGGATCAGTTCGCCTGCGAGACAGAGACTGCCTTGTATATGTCGCCGCTAGTGACACAATGACTTATGCAAGACACACCATCATACAGGCTAAAAATATATATTTTCAATAAAAATAAGACGAGATTATGAGGCAAAAATACAATTTTGTGGCCGGTGATAATTTTTGAATTCCCCTCATCCCGCTGGAGTTGACATGGACGGATCAGCCTCTCATTGCTGGAGTTAGGACGTTTTGAGACCGTGTCTGCAGAAAAGATAGAGAGAGAGAGAGAGACACGCTGGGGACGTTTTCTCTAAAGAGGGAAAGGATGCGGGATGTTGGGATCCTTCAGCTTCTGGCTAATGGCTGACGTGTTAGATGTATCTAGCTGGAGGGAATAAGGAGGCGCTGTCAGCTGTCAGAGGAGGAGTATTGATGCCTGGCTAATGCTGCCCACTCATAGAGTTAATAAAGCTCAGTCTCAGAGCCACACACACTGCAGCTGTCACACGGTTCAACTCAGGCTCAAGTCTGACCCCTAGTGCACAAACCACAGAATGGGCCCTATCATACACCCGGTGCAATACAGCGCCAGGCAAGTGTGTTTTGCTAGTTTCAGCCCGACGCACTTATCATTTTTACGTCCTGCGGCACTTTGTTTAAATAGCAAATGTGTTTGTACTCATCTGTGCACCCATGGGCTACTGGTCTGAGAACAAGGTGTGTTCAGGTGCATTGTTTCTGAGGGCAACTGAAACCTGGTCTAAAGTCAATGGCGCAATATTATTTATTTATTTTTGTTTTTTTTTAGGGCGCTTGTAGGGCTGTCAAGCGATTAATCGCGATTAATCGCATCCAAAATAAAAGTTTGTGTTTACATAGGCTAATATACGTGGGTGCACTGTGAATAATTATTTTATATATATAAATACACACTCATGCTTGTATATATTTAAGAAATATTTTCATGTATATAGTTTTATATATAATTTATATTATAGATAAATATCAATATTTTATATATAATTTTTTTTTCTTAAATATACATGCATGTGTGTGTATTTATATATACAAAATAATTATACACAGTGCACCCACAAACAATATATTATGTAAACACAAACTTTTATTTTGGATGCAATTAATCGTGATTGATCGTTTGACAGCCCTAGTAATGTGCGCATATAGGTAGCAGCACACAAACACGACAAATATTAAAAATGAAAGGGTTACAATGTGATAGATGGTGGAATCCGGGTTGTTCGTCCCGTTGATGGTCTGTCTGCGCCTTTTCCTCTCTTGAGAAGCGTTCAGTTTTTTTTCCTTGCAAATCCCGCCACGTAAATAGTGAATCCGCCAATGTTGCGAGCGCAACTGGCTTTTAAAGATAATGGGAGATGAGACTATGATTGGTTCATTGCACATTACACCCAAAACACACCCATTACTCTTTGAGAGAATAGGGAGAATCATAATAAATAATAATTCATTACATTTATGTAGCGTGCGTCGAGCGGGCTGACCATTTTTCCTGTTGTAAAACTAGAAAAAGTGGACCATACGCTTAGAATTAGATGGTTAAAGGGGGCCTGATAGCTCTCACAGGACATCTGACTGAAATCTTGTGTTTAGGTAAATGGGAATGTGGCCAAAGAGGTGGAACTGAAGGACTCAAAGTTATCAGTCAGCCCGTCCCCTTCCAACGCCTCCTCCGACGCCTCCCTCGTGACTCCGCCGCCTGAGGTGAGACTGAGAACCGCAGACTAACACCCTTCTCTCGCTGTTTCTGCCATAGAAAGACATGGGGAAATCATAAGTGTAGTGTGCGGTTCTGCACGACTGTATGCTGTTTCTCACTTTGCCAAAATCTGCAGTAAACACACTGTATCCTACAATACAAAGCGTTCAAGTGTAACAAATAAAGTGGAAGTAATATAAACTTAGATTTTTTTTAAATGTAATATTAAAGGAGTAGTTCACTTTTTTAAAAAAACTTTTGCTGATAATTTACTCATCCCCATGTCATCCAAGATGTCCATGTCTTTCTTTCTTCAGTCGAAAAGAAATTAAGGTTTTTGATGAAAACATTCCAGGATTTTTCTCCATATAATGGACTTCAATGGGAACCAAACAATTCAAGGTCCAAATGACAGTTTCAGTGCAAACTGTTCAAAGGGCTTTAAACGATTCCAGACGATGAATAAGGGTCTTATCAAGCGAAACGATCGTTCATTTAAAAATAAATAAGTTTTATAAGCACAAATGCTCGCCTTGCGCTGTTCTGTGATGCGCGTTCGTGGCTCTCCTGTTAATCAAAATGAACGAATTTTTTTTCGCGTCATGACTCGAAGGGTCCTAGATAAGACCGTTATTCGTCGTCTGGAATCGTTTAAAGCCCTTTGAACAGTTTGCACTGAAACTGTCTTTTGGACCTTGAATTGTTTGGTTCCCATTGAAGTCCATTATAAGGAGAAAAATTCTGGAATGTTTTCATCAAAAACCTTAATTTCTCTTCGACTGAAGAAAGAAAGACATGATTAACTGTATTGTTAAAGGAGTGGTTCACATTTAAAAAAACATTTGCTGATAATTTACTCACCCCCATGTCATCCAAGATGTCCATGTCTTTCTTTCTTCAGTCCTTTAACAATACAGTTAATCAAGTTAGTTCAAGTATGTTAGTCATCACATTAAAATAAGTGCTTCTTTAAAGCATGTCAAAAGATCAAAACATGAAAGTAAAACTTTTAATTTAGCATTGTTACAAAGTGCAGTTTTAAAAGTCTAATTAAGTGAGATTAGTGCATTTAAGTATCCTTTCATGTCAGTAATATTATCTACCATCTGCACGTTTTGTTTAAATGGGTGGTAAAGTATGATTTCACTTTTCTAACTTTAGTTAGTGTGAAATGTTGCTGTTTGAGCATAAACGACATTATCTAAGTTACAACGCTCAAAGTTCAAAGCAAAGGAAGATATTTGCTTTTAAAGAAAAGGACTACAACAAACAGCTGGTAGGGACTACACGAGCTTCCTCCCGGGTTAGTGACATCACTACCCCTAAAATGTACATAAGCCACGCCCCCGTGAACACACAGTCCATGTTTCGAAGAGGAAGAGTGGTTGTAGAGTCAGCTCAAACTTTAGCATCCATCTTTTCACATCCTTGTGCATCTCACAACAGTTCCTATATGAGCGATTTATAGATTACATAACAGAATATGCTAATTTAAGATAAGACAACATAAATTCATCAACTAACCATTCAGAGTCGTCCTGTTGTCGCTTCTCTCTATATTTGACAGACTCCATTTTAACATAAAAGGCAGAACAGTTTCTATCATTTTAGTGTGTCTGCGTGAGCTGAGCTCTTGAAACCCCGCCCTCTGCAGCAGCTCATTTGCATTTAAAGGGCCAGACACAAAACGTTATCAAAAAGTGACAACTTTAACATGCTATATACAAATATCTGTGGGGTATTTTGTGCTAAAACTTCACACACACACACACAAACAGATTTATTTTACATCTTGTGAAAATGGCATTTTACCACCCCTTTAAAGAGTATACTTAAGTGCACATTCAATACAAATAATCACATTTTTCACTATTTGACATTTACGCATAATGTTTCACATGCTATTTAAAAAAAAAACAGTTAGCATTACACAGTAAAAACGTTCTGAAACTACCCTAATGAAATATTGGGAAAACATTTTCCATTAGAACGTTGTTCCACACGCTTGTAGTTACACTGTTTCAGGGTATTTCACAACTTAATGTTTGTTTGTCTTCCTCTCTGCAGACCGTGGAGCCGTCCATCAGAGACGCTATCCCCGAGCTCAGTCTGTCCTTACAGCAGGTGAAAGAGCGCGCGCACCAGAAACGCTCCAATAAGAGAGCTCCGCCCATGGACTGGAGCAAGAAAAATGAACTCTTCAGTAACCTATAGACCTCCAGACGATCGTCCATCCACTCATCCATCCATCCATCCCAGAAGGAATGTAGTTTCGGCACACATCTGGGCCGTGTGGAATCCATGTGGGCCGAAACTATGTTGCTCTCTGTGATTCATCAGCTCTGTTTAAGACTTGATGAAACAGAGCAGATCTTATAATGAGGTTATCATTAAAGTAGGCTCAATATGATGTGTGTACTGTGTGTATGCACACACAGATTTATATGTATTCAGAATTATGTATTTGAATTACTAACAGATTATATTAGTACATCAGCTACGGGGCAAATGGAATGTAACTGTGATGCATTACAATCACTGGCTGTGTTCAGAATGGAGTACTTATTGTAATATTACCGCTCACTAAATACTGTGCGTTACACATCCAATTCTGCTTACTGTTAAATATAGTAAAACAGTAGTGTCATGCTGTTCTACATTGCATGTTTACTTTAATGGGCAGTCTCCAGTTGTCTTTTTGAAATCAAAGTTTATTTTTTATTCATTCAATTTTGTGTAAATATGTATTCTAATGTCTGACGATGAGGAAAAACAGATGATAAAGCTCTTGCCTGTAGTTCCAATCAATTTGTCACACTGTAAATGTGTGTGCATACTATACAGAAATAGTGATATTATGTTAGTATGCTATTCTGAACAGAGCCTAATTCAGCGTGTTTGTGTGTATGTGAGTTTTGTGTATGAGGCTGTACTACACTAAAAGGTTCAGTGTGGTTCTATATAGAACTCTCTATGCCAAAAAGTGTCTATATATGAAGTGGCTGACAGAACCCTTTAAAGGAATAGTTCACTTTGAAATTAATTTTTAGTGTGTTTTATCTTACCTCAAGGGCATCCGGATGTAGGTGTCTTTGTTTCCACAGTAGTTTCAATTTTTATATTTTTAGGTCAAACCATTCTTGTCTATCAGTCATATAATGGAGGTCTATGGTCACCACCTCAAAGAGCATGCATAGAGAAGTCCAGATTAAACATGACTCACACAAACCGCTCGTTTCGTGTCTTAGGCCATCAATGTGTACTTACATTTACGAGTCATTAAATCATGTTTAATCTGGACTTCTCTGTGCATGCTCTTTGAGGTGGTGACCATAGACCTCCATTATATGACTGATACAAGAATGGTTTGACCTAAAAATATCAAAATACTGCTGAAACGAAGACACCTACATCTTGGATGCCCTTGAGGTAAGATAAAACATATCAACAATATATTCCAAAGTGAACTATCAGTTTAAGGCTCTACAGTAACCGTATCTTCTTAGAGTGAAAGCAATGTAGTTTGATTCATTAATGATTTCTGGAGCTCATTTCGTTGTCTTATAATGGAGGAACAAATGAAGACTTGCATCCTAAACTCCTGACTGTCACTGTAATCACAGGCATCTCATCATTACTATTGTAAACAGACACAGTGGAGTCGAGACGTCGGAGAAACCTATAATAAGCAATGAAGTATTTTGTATTAAATTCAACATTAATAAGAATTTTCACTAGTGGCCTCCTGAGATGTTTCCCAAAGAGCCACATAGTGCCGGCCCAGATCCGGATTCAACGCGTGTCAGACGCGGGCCGACACTGTCTGGGTTGGATCCCACTGTAAATTCCTGTTAGTGCATGATGGTCTTTTTCCAAACAGTGAGGTATTTTGAGACGCCATTTTTAATCCTGCACTTGATCACTGTGTTGTCATGTTATTTCATATTTATGTTATTTCTATATTATGTAACACGTTTATAGAGCATCCCACTTTGTTCAGAAATATATTATAGTGGACAAATGATTTCTGCAGTGTTTTATGCTTTTGATACACACTGTGTTTACTTGCGTTACTGATGATGATTTACTGTTTCAAGCTCTACACGCTGGCGACTCCTGCTGGTCAAAACAGTGTAAATACAACACAAACTCTTTTTGCCAAAAACGCCGCTCACAAACCCATTGCAAATGTTTTATTGAAAGCATAATTTATCAAATGCAATTAACTAATCATCTAAATAGATTAAATATCATGTGTCTGTATAATATTTGTTCTTTTACAAATTGTCAGTGCTTGTTTTGTTTGTTCAAAGGATGGCTCAGCTAAACAAGCCAATACGATTATGACTTACAGTCCCTCATTGGTGCCATACACTGCAGACTGCATGTTCCCATCAAGGCCTCAATGAAGGGATTTTGTGAGCAGAAAGGGGGCTTACAATGTAAATGTGCAGCCAAGTTACTATTACAATTTTTAATATTCCAGATTAGTAATATTATATCCATATTTTTAAAAGGCAGTTGACTGAGTAAAATCTCTTTGATGGTGTGTGAACATGTTCCATATCAAATCAGTGTGAAAGCAAAATGGCCAGGATCTGTGCATGACTCAAGAATTTTCAGATTCACATTTATGCACATTATTTGAACGTGGTAGCCTAAGGAAAATTATAAATATCAAACTCACTGTATTACATACACTTATGCTGAGAACTGCATTTTTGCATTATACAGGTGATTACAACAGGATCCTGTCGTGATACGGGTTGGGCACTGAAGTTACAGGAGTTTCTTCCCGTTGCTAACGGAACTAGGTCGAGTATTTAAAAGGTTATGGTTAACACGGTTTACGTGGTTTAACGTCGATGTAATGCGTTGTTTTAGCAAACCTTTTGCTTAAACGAGGAGCTGGTGGACGCCGGAAAAATAGACGTTTTACTCATTTGGCTACTTCATTAAAACGTGACATTTTGACGTTTTTTTCGGCGTGGATCAAGGCAAATGAATCCTTTTCACCTTGAAAATAATACTTTTTTGCATTTTAATTAATAAAACATTTCTCAGTGATCGTCAATAAAACAAAATTCCATTTTTCTCGGTTTAATGAAAACCAATAGGTCGTTATGGCAGAGGGGATTGCGTGTAGAATAGGTCAAACGTGTAAGTTTCATGTTTGAGGGGGTTAAACCGTGACATCTACACGTTTTCCAAAGTGGACCAACGTGATTATTTCACGTCTTGTGGTGATACCGGGTTGAGTGGAGAGATATCCAGAATTCGCCTCTGCCATAACGACCTATCGGTTTTCATTAAACCGAGAAAAATGGAATTTTGTTTTATTTACGATCACTGAGAAATGTTCTATTATTTAAAATGCAAAAAAAAAAACACTTATTATTTTCAAGGTGAAAAGGATTCATTTGCCTGGAATTATGCATTAACCATAACCTTTTAAATACTCGACCTAGTTCCGTTAGCAACGGGAAGGAAGAAACTCCTGTAACTTCAGTGCCCAACCCGTATCACGACAAGACGTGAAATAATCCTACCCTATCTCACGACCAATTCGTACGAATTCGTACGAGTGAATAAAAAGTGGCTAATTCGTATTAATTCGTACGACCTCACTTGTACGAATGGGCTCTATGCACGGCGTTATTTCCGGTGAAGGATTAAGGATGCTCGATAACTTCCGCCGATCATAGAGTCCAATGCAATACCGATAGTTTATATTGAATTTTATACTCCATGGTTATACTAATGAAACGTTAGTCACAAAAACAGATAAAACAGACACCCCTCGTTGTGTTTATGCTTCTTTTTAAAATTATATTAAATAAACATAACTATATATAAAATTACATCTAAACGTATGTACGTTTCGTTTCAAAGACGGGAGGACAGTAAATATTGAAGACTCTGCCATAATCCCGTTTTCTCCGGTTTTCCTCCGCTTTAATCTACACAACCGGAAATGGACGAGCATCCTTACGTCAAATGCGGAACTTATGCGTGCATATAGCCCATTCATACGATTTGTCCAAACCCACGTGACGGTTATGTTTAGGGGCGGGGTCAGGGGTATAGGTCATTCGTACGAATTCATACGAATTGGCCAATTCGTAAAATATGTACGATTTAGCAAAATCGTACTAATTTGTACGAGTGAGGTCGTATGAATTGTTACGAATTAGCCACCTCGTAAAATTCGTACGAATTCCCGTGAGATCAGGTTGATAATCATGTTGGTCCACTTTGGAAAACGTGTAGATGTCACGGTTTAGTTTAAACTCAAAACCATAAATAGGGCTATGCTGCCCTCTTGTGTCAAATTATATTTCTATATTTATTTTTCCAACAAATAAATTCATTCAATACACCTTTGAATTCAACAGATTCAGTTTACGGTGCCTGGGAACCGTTCGTCTGTCTGCTTCGACCAATCACGTCTCTGCATGTCCATCTTTCTCATTTTTTGGACAGCCCATCAGATCGCAGCATTTCCATTTTCTCTTACACCAGCTTACATCTACACATTTTCCAAATAGTCTGGTAGGAAGGGGGGGTTCACCTGCACCCGAAAGATATATTTTTTTAACCTAGTTTTTTGTAATCCTTAAGGTGTCTAGAAAAGGAATTTTGATGTTCCCCGCGCAAATTTTTGTCCCATATGTGATTTTTTGTATCATCTTTTGTGTCCATGCTTGATTTTTGGCTGCGGAAAATGAAAACTTTAAACCTACATAGAATCTGAACAATACATCCTACAGACACAATCTACCCCATTTTCTCTTCGTCTTTGCATGAGGAATTGATAGATATGAGGATTGTCTTGATTAGATGATGTATAGTGCATAAAAACTCAAATAAACACCAAAAAATGTCAAAATATTGTAACATTGGATCACTGGAACTCCTCCCCTATGGACCCTTCTGATATATGTTTTCTAACTTTTGTATTTTTACAGTCTTTAGGATGTCTAAGAAGCAAATGTTGATGATCCCCACCTGAAATATTGTCACATATTTCTGGCTATATTGGTTGCCACCCACTCCTTTAGTTTTCGATTTGATAAATCTCCTCCATTTTTCATAACTGGCTATGTAAATTATTGTTGAGCACATGTTGAGCTTGTTCCCAATGTTCACTTGTTGCACATTAAAAATATAACATAGATATTTTAATTAAATAATACATTTTAAGACACAACGTGTTCAAAAATATGCATTAATTAAAAATCACATCATGTAATTAGGATTCACTGGTAATGTGAGGTTTATTTAACATACATTTTTAAACTAACTACACAAATACATAGCCTACACCATGCACCAACACACAATTAGAAAGGTCTTTCTTGGTGAAGAGCATTTAGCGTTATGGAAGCCCACATTAACTGGCAGATAATGGTCTTTCTGTTAAGTTGAAAAAAAAATGTTATGCTTAATAATTAATTAATTATACTTTCATTATTATTATTACTACTGGTGAGGGAATGTGTTTCATCTCGAGTGGGACAATCTGAACAAAATAACAACAAACATTCATGGCTCAAGTGTGGTGAACTGGACCGGTGGGATCATGATACAGGAGGTGAAACCTGAATTTGATGCCCCCAACTCTCTTCCACGAATGCTCCCACTCTACGAGTGGAACAAGACGCGCTCCCTTATGGTAGATATACCTGAGACCCTAAATTCATCATCAAGTCATGATTAGATGATGTATAGTGCATAAACACTCAAATGAACACCAAAAAATGTACAAATAAATTGTGACATTGGATCACTGGAACTCCTGTCCTCAGGACCCTATTGATATATGTCTTCTAACTTTTGTACTTTTACAGTCTTTATGATGTCTAAGAAGCAAATGTTGATGATCCCCACCTGAAACATGTTGGTCCAAATGAACATCTCCCATAATAAGTAGATATTATTCAAACCATTATATTGGTGTTATATTTA